CTGGGGTGCAACTCTTCCCCGTTTGTTGCAGCACCTTTTGCCCTTCCCCACTCAGCTTTTAAATTTGACCCCACATAGGTAAGGGAGAGAAATTAGGACATCAACGGCGTCCGGCCCCAAGATGAAGATGCGCCATTGCTGCCACAACATCAAGCTCAGGATCTTGATTCCTCAGCTGGGGTAGTGGATAGGGTGCCCTCCTTGGTGCCGTTCTGATTGTGACGAGTCTGGATCCACCGCCCTGGGAGCCACTGCCGGTGTCCATTTTCTTTTGAAACATAAGCATAGCCCTTTCCTCTATAAAGTAAAATCCCTGGCTGCCATTCAGCATCTGCCGCAATTTTTATCCAAATTGGTTCATGAACTATTTCTAAGGTTTTTTGCTCAAAATGTCGTTCTGCTCTTGTCAATGTTTCTCCTTGTGGCAGATTAAGGAAATTTTAAATAAATAAGGCTTGATGTAACAATGCTTTAGGTTGATTTTGTAAATGTCTAAACAAGTGCATATTTAAATCTGTCATTTTCCTCCTTTTTAATTTTTTAATTTGTGTTTTATAATATTAACCTTTATGTAGATAGGGCTCTCATTAACTTAAAAAATACATTTAAATTGTACCTCAGTGTAAAAAGTAACATAAAACTTTATATATCTTATTGATAATAGGCCCAGTTATAGAACATTAAAGGATATAGATAAATCTCTAATATGTTATTTTTATAAGCCTAAAATTACCATGTAACCTTTTGGAGAACACCAGCTTGATAAAGGCTTTTATCTTAATGACTTGTATACCTGGAAAATATGAACACATTTAATATACAAAGAAGAGTAATAGTACCATAATTACTATTGATGTTTCTATATTAATTAAGTTTAGTTCTTAAAGAAATAACATAATAGAATATTGCAAAATAACAGTTGTTATTTAACCATATTTGTATAATCCTTAATTTTTTCAAGATTATTTGTTCAAAAATTTACATATATAGCCAACGTATATAGACCTTCTTTATCACTTACTTAAATCCTTTTATTTACTCACTTCCAGAAACACATTTTTTTATTAAATCCATATCTAGAACCTTTCAATTTTTTTTGTTAACCCCTTTTTTATTTACACTTAGAAATAATCTTTGTAAATTTTTGAATTTAGGCAAATTATTCCATTTTAATAAGAGATATTTTGTTATCTGTAGTACACAATCAATCACATTTGTTTACCATGTTATGAAAATATAGTGTCTATATATTAGGGATGAATATATAGAACCATTTATTTATTTATATTATTTACCAACTTAAAAATTTATTAATAATGTTATCTATTGTAATTTAAGGAGTTAAAAGCATTTAATGGTATATTTAACATTTAGCATATTAACCTTGTAAATTAATCAGATATTTAACAAATACTCATAAACCAATAATCTTAAGTCTAATTAAT